GTTTTTTTTCAATTTCGCGAACGAAGTCACAGGTAACAGCTAGTATAGAATAATATTCAACAGATAGTGAATCTAATTAGGTCATAAGAACAAGGTGCATTGCCAACATGCAATTAAATAAAGTGAAACAGTTATTGCCTTTTTTAAACATAGCTCAGTTGACAATTAGGATAATCGTTGGTAGAGCATTTTGCCACCTGACCTGTTACACGCATTGAACGGGTGGAGCATCAGTTGTCGTTTAGGGCTGACGGTGACCGCTTGCCTGACGATATGGATGCCAAGGTAACAACTGATTTGACAACTTTCTTAATAACCTATCGTTCTAACGAGTTTATTGTAGGATAGAACTGAACCATGCGTAGTTTCAGCAATGAAGACAGACGTCTTCTTTGGGATTTGATTTTATAGATTATTTGAATATATTTCATAATTTTGTACTAGATATAAAGTATTTAATACGGTACATTATAACATTGTGTGTTCCTCCACATACTTAGTAAAGTTCTTAAAATCTCATCCTTTTTTTATGTTAAATTTTGATTCATGCCAATTTATTAAAATAATTTCAGCTTATTGCTGATTTATTAAGCTTTGTATCATACAATATTTTCGAGTGGCGAAACCGAACATAGGACCTTCAATTTCAAGAACTACAAACTAACAAGCTATTGACGATCACATACATACTATGAACATTTTATTGTTTATAGTATTTCATGATTATTACCTTAATGTATTTTCTTCAACAGGGCAGAGAAAAGGGTATTCTCAAACTTGATCCCCGTCCTCGAGTATTGGTCGAATCGAAGTCAGAACTAACACCACAGGTAACATTTGTTCAAACTTTTGATATTCACTCGAAGAATGCTCGAAATTAATTCAGTTTTTGGCTACATTGCAAAGTTAAGATAGCTGTTAAATGTAGCAAGTTATAATTATCATTTAGACATGTTTTTTATGTTCACATTAAATAATATTTCATATGCACGTGTTGGTTTGCTTTTAATTCAATCAACATTAGTCTACGGAATCGATTCCCTAGCATTCAGTCTGCCATCACTTTGCGTCGCTTTAAACCTAAGTGTACAATGAAGATATTTGATGGTCGAAATTCTGAGAACATATGTTTTATATATATATATATATATATATATATATATATATATATATATATATATATATATATATATAAATCAATTGCTAGTCTTGCTAGTTAGATTCGCTAAAACTCGAGAACGACTGAACGGATTTATCTTGCGATACGAACGATATTGCCGGGAACTAATTAAGTTTTTTTTTTCATTCCACGAAGACGGAGTCGCGGGCGACAACTGGTCAGTTCCAAAGAAATTGCCATAAATAATGTCTGCAAAACAATTGTAATTAGAACGGCAATCGGGGCACGGTGCTATCTCTCTAAATAGCAACGAATTTGCATCAATTAATCTAAGCACAATTTACATACGTGTTAAATCACTAACGTTATATGGTTTTAAATGCTCGTTCATTTTTAATTTTCGTGGAAAACCTTAACTATAATCGTACGAAAGAACAACGCATGACTTTCGATTCTTAGAAAAAAGTTAAACTGTGGGCCAAAAAATATTTTCTCTTTTTTTGGTTATCGCCTTAAATTAAATGATATACAGTATTATCATGTCATCGTGTTAAAGGAATATTTAATTTATCTTAGTATAAATATTGCCTAGAAAGAAATATTGATAGCGAATAAAGCTTTAGTTACACTGATAAGTGCTAAATAAATGATTTAACATTTCTTATTAATATTTATCTTAAGAACTTTTACCTTTATTTATTTTTTTGTAAATTGTGTATTAAGTAGTCTTAAAAAACAGTAGACTTCTAATAATTAAATTATACTGTTTAATTTTCAATAATATGCATACGATGAATATCCTCTGATAAAACCCATTGGTAAAACACAAATACTTTGTTACAAGTCTTATACTAAATTCTGTATAAGTCTTCCGATTATGGAAATTTATGATTATGTTATGGTAATTTGGTAAATAATGCTACCTAATATGTCAATCTTAATGAACATTTAGAATTCGATTTTGACCGACATTCACAAAAAAATCACTTCTTAATTATGGTGGCTGATATAAACGCAAATGGGGTTTGGGGCTGGGAGGGTGTGCTTGTTAATGGAATGAACGAGCAGGGCTGCCTCTCAAATTACCCTTGTTAATTATTTCACACCTAGTTTTTTTTTTCTATTACTTTAACTAAAACTAGTGCAAATTACGTAACATTGACTAATTGTCCTTTGCGTTATAACAAATCGCGGTTATTTTGTTTGATATTATCTGACTAAGAACAAATTGTCTTTAATATATTTTTAGATTAGTGAGCACGCACGAATGTTTTAGACAAGAAAAATAGGCGTCCATCTCTGAATATTTCAAAGCCTAGATCTGAATTTTTATAAGTTTATTATTATATTCAATTGAATACAAAATATATGATTTATATTATACGCTTATGATTTCGCGTTATTTTGAAAATCAGATGAATGATAGTGCCTAAATTTAATTAGAAGTGTATCCTTGGACTATAAACTTCGACAACTCTTTATCGAATCTTCGGATGTATGGATGGATGTTTGTTAGAAAGTATCTGGAGTACGGCTGCATTGATTAAATTGATATTTGGCATGTTGATAAAGCCTGGAAGAACACATTGGCTACTAATAACTTTTTTTTTTAAATTCCGGACGGACGGCGTTTCGGGCTACAGTTATGTATAAAATTGCCACAGAAATATAGAAATTAGATTTTTATGACACCGAACGTTGAAAAGACAAATATTGAATTTAAATACTTGTATTAACAGAGTAAACAATAATATTTTTTATCCGTGTTACTTGAACCTATCAAAGGTTAGTTATGGCAGCCCTCAACAGCATAGTTAATCAGAGTCAACGATTGGCGTTCACTCATTGACTCCAATGGAAGACTGACTGCTCTTGGTCACGGCAGAAACCGAGGTGTGGGCTTCTCAAGATCTTTTGATTCATTATGCATATCGACCATCATTAATTAACAACCACAAAATTAGAAAACATATTTTATATTCAGCCCATTTTTATAATAATGTACAATTGTTTCTTGTTTAGCTTTTAATTGTGGTTTCAATTAGTTTGTTGTTTTTTTGGTTTAATATTGTTTTTAATTTAGATTCTCTTTTGTTCTATTATTTTGTTGTCTATGCACCTATACTTTATATTATATATGTGGTGTTTATCTGTAAGTGAAATTACATGTTGCCTGAAACCTTTTGCAATAGTGCCTAAAATGTATATAACATATGTACTTTTGTTGATGAACCAAATAAATAAATAATCATATGCAAATTTAAAAGAACATATTATTTTATAAAATATTATTTTGCTTCGTTATAATGTATGATGTCAAAATTTATACTTAACTTTAAAGTTCAAAAGGGTTATCGTTCTTTTTTTTCTAAACCAACTGATTTCATAATCACTACTAGATATAAACTAGTTCATAGATATTATAATATCACGTAAATTATAATATAATAATATTATGTTATACTATAAAATATTTATCTATTGGTATAAATAAATCCAACAAATAACAAATAATCCAAGTTGGCCAACCTTCAAGACTGAAGAGGCACCAGCAGAAAAAAATAAATAAATCCACGTGTCATAGGCTTCAGAGATTATTAAGACCTTTTAAATTCGAATAGTTTTGTAACAGAATTTTGTTAGTTATTTATGTCCACAGTACTAACCGTGGGATTCTGAAAAAAATACCCATTTAAAACATATTTGTCAAAGGTAAAGACATAAATGAAGATATATTTTATACAGAAATTTTGGCCTCAGAAATAAAAGGTTATTCTCAAAAAATCTTACTAATATTATAAACATGACAGTTTAGATGGATGGATGGATGTAAGAAGTTATCTCCAAAATGGCTCAACGGATCTCGCAGACATTTGGTATAGATGTAGAACATAGTCGGAAAGAACATATAGGTTACTTAATAAGTTTTTTTTTAATTTCTCGTGAATAGAGTCGATTCATCTAGTAATTAAATAAAATATTTTAACTTGATTTTAAAATTCGAAAAACAATTACGACTTTTTCGTGATTGTTGGAAAAAATTACACGAAACTTTAATTTGGTTTGTTATCTATCAATCGAAGTACCTTTGTATAATCGTTAACAGTGTGATTTATTAGTAGGTAGGCGAAGTCTCGCCCAGGTTCAGTTCGCTATCGGAAACGACAGTACGTCTGCTGCCTCCACTTCGATAAGTGCACAACTTTCTGTGTCTGAAAAACCAAGCGGTCAGTGAAATTAAAAAAAAATACGAAAACATCTACAATAACAATTCTAGACTAAATCGCTTAAAATAAAGTTAATTTCTAATTAGGTCAATAAAGATTTTGAGTAATATTTTTTTTTAACAGGGAAAAATGTATTAACACCAAATGCCACAAATTAAAAAAAATGTGTTGAGCTTAGGTCTACAATATATTTAATAGAATGATTTAAAAAAGTAATTTAAAAAGAATTTTTATTTTATTTTTACATAATTGTCATTTTTAAAAAAAATCCGTAGTAGCTATCTAAATGTTCCATGTATTAAAAACAAGATTAACTAACGTGGGACATAAAACCATTAAATCATAGTATAATTGTTGTAATATGTTTGAAGTAATGAAAGTAAAATCTAAACCAACCATTAATAAAGTTCCTGCCATGTCCGCGGCATTGCTACATTCTCCTATTATTTTTACACGAAAATAACCTTATAAAAACGAACAAAACATAATCCCAGTTGCTTAAATAAAAGAGTTTTAAGTACATTTAAAATTTTATCTCTATATTGAATAAAATAATAGCTATAACTTTTCATTAGAGCTTCTGTTTTATGTCCGCATGTTGTTTTATCTTTACTCTAAAATGTTAAAAAGACGGATGTATATGTCAGGGTTCATGTGATCGTCCACCGTCGTCACCGCAACCATCAGTTGACCGTCTCTCGGTGACCTGGGCCGACCCCAGCAGTATGACTTCTTCTGGCGTCAACTTATTCCATCTACCATCCGAGACACCGATTAGCAATGAAGTCAAGTTTTCACCGACGGCCGGGGGTGAGTATTAAATTCAAATAAAATAATAAAAAAAATTGATAATAATTAAATATTTTTAATAAAGTGTGATTTATATTGTTAATTACATCTGCATGCCTGCTAATTATATGTGCATTGCGGTAGTAATAAAACTTTTTATCGTGCGAAATTTTCGTATAATCGCTGAAATATGGTACCCAACAATATGGATTATAAGAGGTATTTCTCAGAGGATGCAAATCAAGGATTTCCTTCATTTGGTGCGATAATATTACATCAGTCTCGTTTATTTTTTTCGGTCATTTGAAACAATTTCTTTACTAATAGAAGTATCAGAAGACGAGGACTACTCGGCAAGTCTAAGCGCGGTATTACGTCAGCGACGTGCGAGCGTGCGTCGGTCCCGCAAGGGTCGCAGCAGGAGACCATCATCTCCCTTTTTACCAGATGAAACTCGATCTCGACGACGTTCCTCGATTTTTACCACTAGTTCCGGCGAGTGAGTACAAAACTGAGCAACTAAATATTTATTCACTGCAGAAATGTTTGTTTTTGGTAGACTATAGAAGTTGAAAAATGAAGCACAATACGATAAAGTGGATGAATAATCGTTTATCTCAACCTGAAACACGGTGAACGTCGCTATGTTTGATTGTATGTATTTGTGAGGCTTCTTTCCTAACTAAGGTACATTATTTTTGTCATCAGTACAGCGATTTCAATTGATGAAGTCCCACTGGTGACTCAAGAGCAGATTTTCGAGAACATTCATCTTCACAAAGAAGTGCTCGGCTCTGTGAAGCAACAACCTTTGGGAATGCGACGCAAACTGAAGATTGTTCATCAGGTAACTGGCTTTAATTTTTAATACCGGTGTAGTAGAAACCTTTCTAGAACATATTACAATTTAAAAAGAAAACCCCTGGAAAGAAATTATTTTTTAGTAAATTTACCCTTGGTTCGCAGGCAAAAGGATATATAAAACGTCATGAGGGTCAATTACAGGAGAGACTTGCCCAATCAAAGAGCACGCGTGATATCTACGCTCGTTTCAACATATTGATAGCAACGGTGATTTTTTTTTACTTCTATTAGCTTTAAAGCGTATATAGAATCTGTCTCCCAATTTTTGACTGATCTATTAAATTACAAGTAATATAATTCAAATGAGAATTATGCACTCAACTAAAAAAAATAATCTATAGTCTTCCTAACAATGAGAGCTACAAACAAAAAGTAACAATAGTAAAAGCGTATAATAAACTGAGAGGATTGATTTTAAGAAATGAATTACAAAGCGTCCTTTATACTGATGTAATTTTATATGCATAGAAATGGCAGCAACTAAAACGGGAGGCGGCCAATACGTCCAACTTGCTCATACCTTGGGAACTACGCATCAAGGAAATCGAATCACATTTCGGATCGGTTGTGGCATCCTATTTCACTTTCTTACGATGGCTCTTTTGGGTGAACCTCGTCATTGCCTTTATTTTACTTGTGTTCGTGATCACACCGGAGGTACAGAAATTTCTAATACATTTTAAAATTAAGGAGTAACTTCTTTTCTTGATAATATAAAGTAATATACATCTCTTAATCTTGAGACATTATTTTATTATCTTTTGTATAGTAGTACTTGAGCGAAAGTTTGAAGTTCTAATATTTTTTTTAATTTACAGTATCTAACAGCAAATCCTTCTCAAGATGGTGAAAGGAAAATTATTATGGAAGAAGAACGTCGCAATTCGACAAACCTACTCACAATGTGGGAGTTTGATGGGGTCCTGAAATATTCCCCTATTTTCTACGGCTATTACAGTAATGTAGAAAGGCCAGAGTATCGGATGCCTCTCGCTTATTTTCTGACTGGTTTGGTTGTATACATTTATAGCTTCGTCGCTATATTGAGGAAGTGAGTTAAATATATCTTTTATGGATACGTTGTGCACAACGGCGGTTCCTACGATCGTTGCATTCTGTTACATAAAATATTTTTTATGTAGTTTGTTATAGTGCTCATGCGAAACCAGCTTTTACATACTTTAAGGATATTTCAATCAGTTAAAATCCTTACCGTAACCTTGACAATAAATTAAAAACCTACTTTAAACCTTGTATTTATTTCCAGAATGGCGGAAAACTCAAGAATGTCAAAACTATCAGAAAAAGAAGATGAATGCATATTCTCATGGAAGCTATTCACCGGATGGGATTTTATGATAGGCAACGCAGAAACAGCTCATAATAGAATTGCATCTGTTATTCTTGGATTTAAAGAGGCATTGCTGGAGGAAGCTGAGAAAAAGAAAGATCCAAGAAAGTGAGTAGCTTGAGTTACTAATTCAACTCATGTGTAATTGTATTTTAATTGTGATTTTGTTTTATTTAAAACTGTGTAATCTGTTGTCGACGATATAAATAAATTATGTTCTTTTGTGTTTTTTGCAGCTGGCGTATTATATCGTTACGAGCGCTCGTCATTATTTGCGTTATCATACTTCTTGGTCTATCAGCATACGTTGTTGTAACAGTCGTTACACGATCAGATGATAATTCTAAACCTCGAAGTTGGTTGAGAGAAAACGAGACAACTCTTGTAGTAACTGCAATCTCACTTACCTTTCCAGTGTTCTTTGATTTACTGGGTTTATTAGAACACAATCATCCTCGAAAACAATTAAGATTACAATTGGCAAGGTAATCTTCTTAACGAAATAATTCATACAATTTTACTGTAGCTTCTACTGAATGGACACTAATTATTAAAACTTCTTTTTCAGAATTATGTTATTAAATTTGCTCAATCTTTACTCCCTAATTTTTGCTCTGTTTAGCAAAATTCAAGGAATGAGCGCTGAATTAGATTCGTTACAACCAAGTTTTAATATGAATACGTCGGTCATGGCAGAAAACGCTATTGATATAAATAGAGCATCCATAAATATCATCTCAAGTACGTGTCATGAAATTATTATACCATGTTTGCCATGTCATTTACTATCCTCATCAGATTACGATTCGGAAGAAAGTACTACAGTTGAATTTACTTCAACTGAAGTAACACAACCTACAACAAACATTTTAAGCTTAACCACCCAAAAGTTCTTAAAAGAAACAAAGTCAATAGAACCACAAAATTTAAAGATATATGACGCCGATGAAAATAACATTATGAACGACAAAGGAACTATAGATACCAGTATATTACTTCTCATGGAAGAACTTGACAGATTAAGAAATATAAGTATATTAACGAACGATTCTGTACAATTTTATGAAAGTACAACTGAAGATTTCGAAAATTATGAAACTACGTCTTTTAATACAAGTACTGATTCTAGTTCATTATCGAGTAGTGATCGAGTAATTACGAACGAATACAAAGACGATTTAGATCCATATTTAACTACCAATGTTCTTATTTCTTCAACTACTGATTATATAGAAAAAGAGGAGACAACGACGGTAACAGATTCAAATAGTACTTATTTTGATTGGAGTACAGAAAAACAAGTAAGTGAGAGTGATTTACAAAGAGAAGCAGAACTAGCAACTGAAAATTCAATAGAAAATACTGAAAGCAATATTTCTCCTTCAATAATTCCTTCAGTCACAACCATTGTATATGATGACACAAATTTTAGTTTCACCGAAGAAACAGAAATTACTGGGAAAACAAATTATCCAATTTATATTGGTGATAATAATCAAAATTCAGATAACTACACAAATAACATTATTGTTGACACTACTATTCCTGAAGAAAGTAACTGGAACGAAAATGATAATGAGACGATTCCGGACTTTCCAACATCGACAATGATTAGTTACTTAAATACCTGCAGGAACCTTTCATTCAATTGTTCGTTTAATTGTAATGGCCAAAATATAACTAAAGTGTTTTTTGTGTCCAATTGTTCTATATCTGATATTAAATGTTACGTTAACCAATGCGAGTATAAACAAACTTTAAGAAATGGAACAAACAACCAATTCAATTTAACTGTTATTGATAAAGTGTATTACGAAAACAATAGAAAGGTATATAACTTAACAAAAGAAACTAAAAAGAAGTTACTAAAACTGTGCTGGGAAACAATGTTTGGACAGGAGTTAGTAAAACTAACTGTTATGGATTTGGTAATATAATTTATATTACTTGTGCAAAGTGAGAAGCTAATTTAAATACATTTTAACACAATTTCCCTAATTGTTTTCAGGTGGTTGGTTTACTCGGAACATTATTTTTAGATTTCTTTCGAGCTTTGTTTGTCCGGTATATGAACCAATGTTGGTGCTGGGATTTAGAAAAGAAATTTCCTGAATATGGTGATTTTAAAATAGCCGAAAACATACTGCATTTAATTAATAATCAGGGAATGGTTTGGATGGGAATGTTTTTTTCTCCCGGTCTTGTTATTTTAAATGTTTTTAAACTAATGACTTTAATGTATTTAAGATCCTGGACCGTTATGACTTGCAATGTTCCACATGCAGTTGTCTTTAGGGTATCTAAAAGTAATAACTTTTATTTGGCCTTATTACTAACAATGCTTTTCCTGTGTGTGTTACCCGTTGGTTACACGATCGTGTGGGTAAAACCTTCTTGGCATTGTGGGCCATTCTCAGAATATGAAAAAATATATCACATTTTAACTAACAATATTTACAAACTACTACCAAAAAGCTTAAATTTTGCACTTGAATATATTGCTTCACCCGCAATAGTCATTCCATTACTTGTTCTTCTAATACTCATTATATATTATCTTACATCGCTTACTAACTCGTTACGAGAGGCTAATAATGATTTAAAGGTAAGGTTAACTAACAAAATCTATTTTTAATTCTGTTTTCGTGTTATTAGTTTCATACTGAAACTAAAACAATTAACCTTCTAGATTCAATTACGCCGTGAAAGAACAGAAGAAAGAAGAAAAATGTTTCAACTAGCAGACACAAGGAGACGTACAGGATCATCTGCTGTTGAAAACACACCCTTTTCACGTTGGAAAAAAGCATTACCAGCTCTCCCGCTTTCTAAATCTATTGACTCAGACGATAGAAAAACAGCAGATGAAAGTAAAGAGGATTCCAAGAATATAAAACGTAAAGGTATTAATGAATATGTTAAGTCGATATATATTTAACTATTATCCAGCACTTAAAATACTATTATGTAACTTATATACTTATTTAATTTTTTTTACCAGGTGGTATATTCGCAAAAATTGTTGGGCTAGCACTAGATAAAAAGCCTGATGTGGAAATTACGTTGCCATCTTCATATACCGTCGATGGCGATAGTGATCTCTACGAAACATTGCCCAAAGAAATATTAAAAATCAAAGAAACAACAGTTCCAAAAATATCAGACCATAAGAAAAAGTCCAACGTCGAATTCAAATCAAACGACAGCGATATTGCGAAATATAAAAGTGAACAAGGTTGTCTGAAAGTTAAAATTGATAAACTATGTGAACGTACAGAGAAGAAAGCTATTTTGGAAAAATTGAAAGAAGACAAAATTATAGAAGAAGATTTAACATCGCTTCCATCCAAAACCATAATTAAAGAATCTAACAGTAGAAATGAGAGTAGAAAAAAATCTTTCGATACAAAACAAACTTCGGAGTCGAGTACATATTCAAGACAATCAGATTCTATAAGTTCTGTTATACCGGTAATAACTATTAGTACAACAGAAAGTGATGATGAACAATTACATTATCCCAAAGTTGTAGGAGAGCACAAAAAGGATAGAAATAATACAGATTCAAATCCAAAACAAGAAATATCTAAGACAAATAGGAGTAATTCAGATTTAAAATCCCTTCGAAGACAAAGCAGTGTTGATAGTATAAATGATAATAAAACGCCAAAGGAAAAGAAAACAGAAGACGGATATAAATATCAATACTCACTTTAATTACTAAATAACACTAATACGAGTAGGTCGTATTAAGTAATGCTTTAAAAACGATTGTAGAATCTTGCTTTTCATTTCTAAATGTATAAAGCCTAGGAACGCATGTAGCCATTTTTTAATATCTAATATTTTTTGTTATTTTAAGACTTGATATTATAGTTTCTGTTAGTAAAACTGTTATTATAGTTTCCACATCTCTAGGATTAAAAATTTTATAGTATTCAGTTATGAGCGCACGCAAAATACACTTGATTAAAATAAGTATAATACTATTGCTTTAATAAAAGATTTTTTCGTAAAGCAATTTTACTATTTATAAATTAATTTCATATCAACCCATCAGTATCGTCAAGAATCAGTAAACACAATTTTCAATTTTTTTTTGTTATCAAACTGTGTACGAATATTTTTAAATAATATATTCAAATGATGTTAAGACAGGTCTATTTGCATATTGCATGCCATATTTGGCGTCTTGTGTAAGTATAAAAAATTCTAATGATAAAATTTCCTAAATTTGGATATCTTAAGAGAAGAAAAAAAGGACAAACATTTTTTCACTTTTTGTTTAATTTTAAACTTTCACATAAAACGTAAGTTATGAAATCGCTGCATTCGTACCAGAATCAATCATATGCACAAACAGGTCGGCGCACAAGCTATCTCTTCTCTGAATTAGTTAAAAAAAATAACGTACGCTACCCTTCCCGAACCCTAAGGCGTAGTATCGGCGAGTGAAGCTTCACTCGGTGGCTGGCCGGCGTGCGCGCAACATGGAGCGTACTGTCGCGCTCCTACTTTTGTATTTAAGCGTCGCGCGCGCAGAAATATTGACACCCCCGTACTTTAACTTAGCACTCGGAAAGAAAATTACCGCAACGGCGACGTGCGGCGATGAAGGCTCGGAACTCTACTGTAAACTTGCCGGCGCCAACGCCGACCACGACGAACATGTGATACAAGGACAGGTATTTTTTTTCTTTATTGCACATTCACCTTCTAAGAATTTTGTGACAGTTAATAATATTATTGTTTACGTTTTTATGTCTCGATGCGGCGCACCGAAGTTAATTAAGCAGACGAATATTTTATTTTTTATTTCATGTAGTACATATTTTTGCTTTATTTGTGCTAGATTATACTTACGAATGTTGCAAATGTTACAATTGCTAAGATGATTGAATGCCATTTTCTTGTGTTGCATAATTTTTACATGTATTAAGGAATGAGAACAAGGCAGAAAGTTATGATTTTGCTTTCCTCATATTTGTTTAAATTAGCCGCAGCTTCCCAGCGAGCGTAGCCAATAGCAGCATATACGGAAACTTGTGATAACACTGTTATCTCAAAAGCGTCGCGTCCTGTTAGCCAACCATACCACTGATAATGGAAACGGTCTCGTCGCCTCTTCATTACGAAACCTAAACCTATTAACCAAATTAACTCGAAACTTTTTAAATGTATTATTACATAAAAATAACCCTATTATTTTTTCTACCTTATTCTTATAAGAACAAATTACGGACTGTTTGGGGATTTTTTCCCGTTTCTTATGTTTAACGCTTTTCCATTATATTGTACTTACTCCTTGTTGTCTCAGAAGGTTGACTTTTAATTCCAAGGTGACATTTGATTAACGTGTATTTATTATATGGAGTATCATCATAAGTTATGGTGGTACATTCAGTAGCTGTTTATACCTAAAGCAATGAAGCTCCTGCCTGGAACATGAGCATCAGGGAATCCAAAAAACTTTAGATTGAAATTCAAAGTAGAGCATATGCACCTCATGTACCTGGAGTGTATTTAATTCAATATTAAAAATGAATTTGTTCTCAATTATTCATTTGTGAATTTTGCAAACACATTTCGCAGACATCAGCGGTCTGCTAAATAACATAGAATAATAAATTATTAAATACACATCATTAGCATACTCTAAAGAAATAAGATTTAGACAAAACTGAATTATGTCAATATCTTCTATAACCGGTGCAGCTAGTAACCTTTTTATTAACATATCCTGGTCGTAAATAAAATATGACTTTTTACGGTTCCTGGCTATATCCATAGCTATTTTTATTTTATAATAAAAATGAGAGAGTCAATCAACCAAAGTCAAATACGAAAATGAACATCTATAATATATTTTAGTTAATTATTCGTTTTTAATATTTTACTTAATATCATAGATTTAAGACTCTTTTGTCATAAAGTAAAGAGTAATTGATTCAAATGTAACACCTACAAATATTGTCTTTGCTAAGAAACGATACCAGTACTTATAGCTAACAAAAGAATGGTCTAAAAGTATCGATCCACAAAGTTTCGCTTTGCTTTCTCGTTATTTGTATTAAACATTCATTCAGTTTAGTAAATACATATTTTAGTTAGTCAAATTAGTAACAAAGTGGTATATATATCACAAGCGTCACGACAAAAGTTCATTCATCGTTATCCGGTGATAGTGAGGTCATAGGTTAAGAGAACATTTGTAAAGGCCATTACACTTTAATGTTTTAACATAAAAAAGGCAAGTCAATAAAAAATCTTAATATGAGCAAAACCATAAATAAGAGAGCAGTGTTAGAAAATTGGTAAATATAAATTGACAACCCTTATTGTAATTATGAGGTTCTTTTTTTATTCTGATTGAAGTCCGATTCTACTGCATTGGAATTATAAAAAATTTAAAGTTATCATTCTAGTTTTCTCTACTATCCAAATAATTAAAAACAAAGTAAATCCTGCCTTAAAATACGAATAGGTATCTATAATATCTAACGAGCAACTAACGCCAACCCAATTAACCATAACTGATAAAAAAATTGTGACTAGACAGAACCTTTTAGGTTACTTCGTGACATTTCGGAGAACATCGTTCTTCGTCGGTTCGACTCTTGGTATTTTTGCGGACATGTGGTGGCCAAATGCGCTTGCGCATCCAAACCTATACCGATCTTTTGTTTCGCTCCAATCTCACACAATGCCGTCCAAATTTGTATGGTCTTTTTGTAGGCACATGCTATTCGCGTGTACCGAAAAAGAACGAGTTTGGAATGAAGGGATTTATTGGGTGTTTTGAAAAGATCCCTTTCTTGTTAAGAAAGTGGAAAGATAAAAGATAAAAATGTACCGAAATATTGTTTAAACGTAAAAAAATATCGATGCTCGTATTCGCTTTAATCCTCTTGTAGGTAAAATATTCAGTCAGTACTAATGCTATATTTATTACCAGGTTTGCGACATTTGTGATGCTAACAATGAGGCAAAGAAACATCCACCGGAGTACGCAGTCGACAGCATGGAGACCTGGTGGCAGAGTCCGCCACTGTCGCGAGGAATGAAATACAACGAAGTCAACTTGACTATTGACCTCGGTCAAGTAAGTCCCTAGTCGCTAAATAGCATATCTGTATAAATGATGTCTATTAATAATATTGTAACGAACCTTATAAATATATATATATATTCTACAATTATATCGTTCAACATGAACAAATTCACTACAAATTGAATTAAGTTATTAATTACGGAACAATTTTTTTCTATTAGCCATATTAATTATTTACCAACATGGAGGAACAATTCTAATTTTTGTTGCTAAAACGAGTCTTTTTGTCGACATGTTTCCGTCTACGCTGGTCGCAACGTATCCCAGATCCCGAAATAGTGCCATTATACGATACTGTTGGTGCGTTGAACCCTACGTTACCTCACATTAAACTGTTAGAGACATTAAAGTAATAATAGACCAGATTTAATGACTAGAATATCATCTAAGTCTAACTAAGTGCTTAATACTAATATACTTATACATATTTTAATATAACAAAAGGCGGAGAGGTTCTAAATGTGTAGAACTTGATTTTTCAATGAATACGAAAATAATGTCCTTTTTGTTATTTCTCTCTTTATCTGTAGATTACAAAACATAAGCGTCCATTTTAATCTTGTATATATTTGACGATGATATTTATTGATCAATTACTGTTCGAGTACTCTATCTGGAGTGGGTATATGTACAAACAAATGCTTGCTTAGCGAATTATAAGATGAGTTCTCACGAAATATAGCGCAATAATCGTAAGTTTCTCACACTACAATCTCTGTAAAATATATCATCATCCATGTCCTTATCGTTGATAGATCACATAACAATATGTTTTAAAAGGACATTTTGGTTTCAAAAACCCACGGTAAGTCATCTATTTATAACATGATTATTTTCAATCCGGTTAAATGTAAAACCAACAATGGGTCATTATTGCTTTGCGTCTAACTTATTTTGTTTCTCCTTTAAGTTGCTTAAGTTGCGTATGCAATATTTTTAAGTTGTGTTGCTTGAAAAAAACCAATATTTTACAATTCCTCTGATACGATCTTGCCACATCATATCGATAAGTTAAAATAAATAAAAAAAAATATGTTATATATATGTTATTTTTTATCTTCAAAACATAAAAAATGTCCGGCAAAACATAGACCTTCATGAAGTTAGAATAATAAAATAAACAATTAACTTTAATTCCAACAAATTAATATTTTTTTGTGAACATTTACGCAACCAGTGTGCTCGTTTCATCACATATTTCATGCGTGTTTCGATACTCATACAGGACACTGTGGGCGGCGATAGCACGCTACAGATAATAAAACTTTTATACCGTGAACTAATATTTAAGGGCGATGTTACGACGTCCGTTATTATACGGTGGTGATTAGATCAAAATAACAGTATTTTTTTATAATAATACAAAACTAGCGTATAGAGATAACCTTATTGAGATAAAAAGCATAACCTATTACATTGATAAAATTAACTGTTAAGTAACGTTTAAGAACGTTAAAATTAAGTACGTTTATTATATTACAAATGTATATATATTTTAGGATCTTAGATATACCTACGAAGAAATTTGTAAGTATTTAGTAACTTTACAATTTTTATTTGATATACTTTAATTTATCAAATACTTGGTACTCCTACCCATGCGACGATGATGAAGACGTAACAAATATTATTTCTTTTTAGGAATTCCATGTAGCTTACGTTTTTGTTCGTATGGGCAACTCACCCCGCCCTGGACTCTGGGTATTAGAAAAGTCAACTGATTATGGGAAAACTTTCAAACCTTGGCAATATTTCTCAGATTCAC